GTTGGCCCAAAACCCAGGCTTGGCCATGGGCTGGGTGGTTAGCAAGTGAGAGTGAAGTATAGCCCATAGAGATGGGCTCAGGCCTTTTATCCTCTCAATAATGTTCAATATGTTTGGTTATACTTTTTTTTTTGACACGACAAAATTTTCGGTTATGTTTGTTTTGTTTTTAGAAATAAATTTTTAATAAAAATAAATATTAAAAAAAATTGAGAATTTTTAAAAATTATTTTAGTCTCCCCAAAAAATAAAACTATATAAAAATGATCAATATTTTTCATTTTTTACACCAAATTATGTTTTAAATTTTTAGATTTTTTTTTGAAATGTTTTGCTGAAGTAAAATGATATACAAACCCATTTTCTAGACCTATTGATGTGTAAGTGATATGATTAGTTAATGATTAAAGAAGATGGAAGAGAGAGAATATTACCTTTAATATATTAATTGATTGGCCTCGTTTGGCAAGTGACTTTTTTAGTCAAAAAGTCAAAAAATTACTAAAAAAATAAAAAAGTCAACAACTCATACCAAAAAGTTAAAGATTCTATTTTCTCTCTACTTTTTGCACATCTTTTTGCAAAAAGTCAAAAAGTCATCCCAAACATACTAGTTTTTTTTACATCACATTTTAGCAAAAAAGTCAAAAATTTACTAAAAAAGTCTGTTCCCAAACGAGGCCGATGAAAAATGAATATAATTTTTAGGGCTATTTTGGAAAGTTTGTTAAAAGTCAGCATTTTGGCTTTTTTATTTTTTTAAGTCATATCACTTCTTTAATTTTTTGCACATTTAAAAAAAAATAAAATTAAAAAATCAGCTTTTAAAGTTTGGAATAACAAAGTATGTTTGGTTTCAATTTTCTGAATTCAGTTTTTTAAAAATTGAGTTTTTTGTTTTTTGTTTTTCATATTTTTTTATTTTTAATGAATATTTTTAAAATCTTAAGAATTTTTTTTTTTTTACTTTTTAGATACAGGTGTATCTAAAAAGTAAAATATTTGTAAAAAAATATTTTAAAAATCAATAAATATACAAGAATATGAAAAATGTACTGAATTCTTGTATTTTTTTTTTTTGTATTTTTGGTGTTTAGTGAATTTTCTAAAGATTTTTTTTTTCACAAATATTATATTTTTAAAGTGTATTTATGTTAGATGTATCTAATTTTTTTTTTAACAAATCTTAGAATATTAAAAATAATCAGTAAAAAAAAATATATGAAAAATAAAAAAAATTTAATTTTCTGAAAACTAAATCTTAAAAATCCAAACCAAACAACCTGAATTCTCTTTTGCTGAAAACCAAAGCCTTCGTATTTTGAATGAAACAATATATTTGACTTTGGTGTCACTATGTCTATTGAAAGATGATTTTATTGGCATGACACGGCAGATTTAAGGGTGTAAAAATGACCCGTGGGTAATTCGAAATCCGACCGCGGCTTGAGATGGGTTTGGCCCAGTTACGCTCAGGCCTGGAATCCTAGGCCTGGGCTTAGGCTGTCATTTTGAAACCAAACCTATCAGTTTGCTCAAAGTCCACTCAAATCTCGGCTCGAGGCCCAGTATCATTTTTGGTGGAAAAAATAGGAAAAAAAATATAAAAAAATGTTGAGGCTTACCCATGTCCAAGCTCGTCTGAGGCACGAATACCCCTTGGGCCTGGGCCTAATTTTTTGACAGGTAAATTACGCAAACACCCCTGGGATTTGGTCCAATTACATCTCATTCCCTGACATTTTGAAAATTATATTCTCACCCTTATGGTTAATAGTCTCATTTCACAAATCCTCTACTTATATAAAATGCAACAACTCGTAGTAGAAAAACATAAGAAATTACATTGAAAAAAAAAAAAGAAGGTAAAGCTAAGGAAAGGGAACACAAAAAAATAAAAGAAGTAAAGCAAAATAAGAAAAGATATAGTATCTGAGTTCAATGTCTTCATTCCGTCTAAGGGGAGTTAGTGTAATTTCTCAAATGTCCGGAGTGCTATGTATTAAATCTAAACCTCGAGGAGTGTAAGTGTTATTTAACTTTTTTAGCCTGTAGGTCGACTTAACTCAACCTGAATTTTAGTGAGAGCCCACGCAACCCAACATGGGCCGTCTCAAGCCCAGGTCGGCCTAAATTTACACCCGTAGGTAGATCATATTTTTTTATATGATTTGTCACATTGGGAAAATTATTATTTGCTCTTAAAGTAAGTTGAAATGATGTTTTAACTTGATTTTTATTAGTTGAATTACTGAGACCCATCACCTTTCTAACTCTTTTTAGGAGACAATGAGACGTTTATCTCTCAATGAATAGTGTGGAGTAATGTTCCAAGACCAACTAATAAAAGTTAAAGTACAAAAAACAAACCTTTTTATTTATTATGAAAAGACGTAAAAAAAGTTAAAAAAATTATATGACTCTAATAAATAAATAGTCAATAAAAGCTTAGTTAAAAAAAAAAATCAATAAATAATTTATTTATAATATTACCAAATGAACCCTAAGTTTTCTTTCTTTATGTAAAAGTTTGAAATCTTTTTAGGCGGATGTGATTGGGAATTGTTTATGTTAACGGATGAAGCTTTCTTTTTCTTTTTTCTTTTTTCTTTTTTTTTGGGTAAGTGGAGAGAAAGATCATTTTTATTAATAAATTATTAATTTAATTAATAATTATTGGAAAAAACATCAATAAATCTTAAGTTTAGATAGTTTGAACCATATAGTCCTATCATTTATTTGGTAGACGGAAAGGTCCTAAGTTAATATTATTTATACTTAAGCCCACAAATGTAACGTATGGGTTGGTTATTTGGAGGGATAAATTGGGTCTTTAAATGATGTTGCAGTTTCCAAAATGTCCAAAAGCATACTATAGCAATTTTTTCCTTTTCCCTCCATTGCGAACAAAACGAAAGCTTAAAAATTAGAAATTCAACGTTTCCTTGTAGATGTTGTAGTGTTGATCCTCATTTTGTGTGAGTTGAATGTTGGATTTGGCAACGTTGCACCTAGCATTCTTTATTTCCCAAATAACATTACAGAACCCATTCAAAACCCTATAAAATCCAAAAACTCCTTCTAGCAAATTTATAGAGTTGAAGCGGCGTGGGCATTGGGATATCTAGGAGTGCAATTAACATTGTCGACGTAACATCGACAATTACACATCAATTCGTCGACGACAACGTTGATCGTGTATTGGTGCGATGACAACAGGTATGAATGTCTTCGATGTTACTTTGGTTGTTTGTGGAATAATACGACATCAAGGTCGATGTTTGAAATGAGATATTGTTTAAATGGTGTATAATGTGAGGTTTTAGGTGATGTTAACATCGTAGTTTTAGGGGTTACCAATGGCACCAAATGTGATGTTGTGCATGTATGTAATGTGACAGACGCATAGTGTTTTAGTTAATATTTGTATGATTGGTTGGGTTTCGTGTAATGTTACTATTTTCGCGAGTGTGGAGGTTGTTAGTGATTGCAAATGTGATGCTGTGCATGTGTACATGTATATAATGTAATTGACACATTGTTTTTATTTAATATTGTTATGATTGTTTGGATCTCTTGCAATGTTAGTATTGTTAGGGGCCAAGGAGGATAACATCAATAATGTAACACCAAGTAGACAACATCAACAATTCCCACAATCACTCCACGAAATCCCTAAAAAAAATAAAAATGTTAAATCATACCTTATTCACATACACCCAAATCCCAAAAAAACATCAAAACCAAATCTCAAATAAGGACAAACAAATAAACTTTAATATTACCAAATCAAATCAATAACACATACTACAAAAAAAAAGGATTAATTGGTTTATAAAAAAACATGTAGGACTAAATGGACTAACATTTTTCCAAATGGGATTTATGAGTAATTTTTCCATAATTTTTAATAATGTTATAAATATATTTTAATTAATAATTGTAATAATTTTTTATTGCATAGGAAAGTAGTTACAATTTTTTTTTTGTTAATTCTATTAAATAAAAAATTGTAACCAAAAGAAATTTTTAATTTTCAAAATTATATAGGATAATCAGTACTTTAAGCAAATCTCATCGAATGTATTTGTAATTTATCCTTAATTTTTTAGCCATGACCAAATGAAGTGTAATTGGACATGTGTTTCTTTGCCCTATCTCATTTTAATAATTTGAATTATTTATTTTGTTGACTTCTAAAATGTTTGTAGATTTTTTATATTTATTTGATAATTATAATCTTAGAATTTTATGATGTGAAGAAGAAATTTCAGTTTTATTTTTTTATTTTTTATTGGTAAGAGTAGATAAAAGAAAATGATTTTTTTTGTGATGCATTTAAATGAGTTTTTTTAATTTTTAATTTTATTTATTTTTATTTTTAGAGCATTTTTGGGCTTGTCCAAATTGTCTGAATTTGTATATACCAATTAACACATTGGTTATTCGGGACGTCATTTGGTCACTCATCAAGGTGGATGTTGGTTGATACGCCGGTTGACAAGAGTGACAACTATGGTTGACAAGGGTAACGACGGTCATCTGAGTGGTCATCAGACTTACGTAATTCGGCCAAGTCCAAATTCGGTGAATCAATCATTATTTTTTTTTCATATTCTAAAAATCAAACTATTTATCGAAGTAACTCATTTTCAAATTTTTATTAAACTAGTTATTTTTTAAAAAATGTAAGTTCAAAATGCGATGCGATTTCATATTGACATAATCAATTGATGCGTAAATGTGAGTCATGCCAATATAATATCACATATTTGTATTTTTAATTTACAATTTAAAAAAATCAATTAATTTAAATAGTTTAATTTTTTTGGAATACAAAAAAAAAAAAAAAAAAAAAAAATAAATTCCCTCCCAAAAGAGGTGTTTGGGTGTGGAGTATTGAATCCACACGTGCCGTCCGGACAAGAATACGACCGTTGCATTCGCACATTTGGGGGATTCCTCCTCGGTATCTCTTCCCCTTCTTCTTCATTCTCCATATTCAAATTTCAAATTTTCAAAAAATGCCAATAAAGCAAGCAAAGCTGCCACAGTGGTCACTTTTCTCTCAAAATCTCAGAAAATCCCATGGGAGCGTCTCAATTCCCATCTCCCCAAGCCCTCAAAATCTGAATCAATCACCCACATTATTATTCTCTATTTCAATCACTACCTCCACTTCAAGGTTCAAACCCTCTCACTCTATCCATCTTCTTTAAATCATCAACATCTTGGGTTTTAGCTTTGATTAAGGACAACCCAAGATGTTATCTTTCTTGCCATTAACCTAACTTTATTTGGGTTCAAGAAAAAAGTAGGCTTTGACAGTGAAATAGCTTGATTTTTTTAGCTTCATAACTCCAAATCACTCAAACCCAGCTTCTGATTTCTCATTTGCTTTGTTTAGAGAAACACATTATTGGAGAGTTTTGCAGAGCTTGAAATTTTGAATTCTGGGGGTTTTGGGAGAAAACCCAGTTTTATGGGTTTTAGAACTTGAATGCTGTCATATACCCAGCTTTATCAGCTTCTGAGTTCTTATTTGCTTTGTTTGGAGAAACCCATTCTTGAGGGTTTTGCAGAGCTTGAAATTTTGAAATCTGGGGTTTTGAGGAAAAACCCATTTTTTTGGGTTTTAGAAATTGAATGCTGTCATAAACTATCAAATTAAGGTAAGTTTTCGACAACATTAGATGGGGATATAGTTCTGTTTGTTACATCTTTGTGTCTTGAAAACAGTACTGTTTTTATATTTGGTTTCTGAATTTGAAGGGTTTTAAGGCTGTTCAAGAACATAGTCATATAGATTGATACAGTTTGTTCACAATGAGGGAAGAAAATCTTTCTGAGAATCGAGTTAAAGCAACAAAGTTTGCTGATCAAAATCAGATACCAAAGGGAAACAATGCTAAGAGCAACAGTAATTCTTCAAAGCCGCGGTCTTCGTGGGGGTCTCACATTGTGAAAGGGTTCTCAGGAGAGAAAAAAAATAAGTTGCAGTCCACTGTTCCAACCAAGAAAGTACCACCGCTCGCAAGCTTGAACGTTGTGCACGACAAGAATCTATTTGTGCCTTCACATTCACGGGTGAAGCGGTCTCTTATTGGGGATTTATCATGCTCTGTCAATGCCACACAAGTTCATCCTCACTCGCTCCATAACCATAGGACCAAAGCTCCTCTTGGGTCTCGCGATTTGTTCCTCGAGCTAGATCATCTGAGAAGCTTACTCCAAGAATCAAAGGAGAGGGAATTCAAGTTGCAAGCTGAGTTATCAGAATGTAAGAGGAACCCAAAAGTTTTGGACCTTGAAAGAGAGCTGGAATTGAAGAAGAGTGAAATTGACAACCTCGTTGAGAAAGTTGGTTTGATAGAATCTGAGAAATCAAGCCTCAATGAACATTTGATCTCTCTAACTTCTAGTTTAGATAGGCAGGTGGTGGATATATCAAGAAGGGAAGAACATGAAATTCCAAATGCATCGGCTTTGAATAATCTTGAGATGGAGGTTGTCGAGTTGAGGCGCCTGAACAAGGAGCTACAGCTTCAGAAGAGGAATCTTGCTTGTAGGCTTACATCCATGGAATCCCAGCTGGCCACCCTTGCAAAATCTTCTGAGGTATATCATTCTGTGCTAAGTTGTCCATGTATTTGCTTGTTTTATGTGTAGTTTTTATTTGGTTGGTTGCTCAGAAAATGCAGGATAGAAAATAAATTTAAATTCTGAGTCCCCTTTTTCTCAATTGTTTTAATTTCCCTGAAAATCTTGTTGCTTCTGTTGGGTTTGTAGAGGCTGTTGATGTAAACCCTAGCAATTATATTGCTGTCTTCACAAGTAGTCCCATTGTATTTTTCTCTTCTTTCTTTATAGTGGAACTGGTCTGAGTCGTGAATATAGGCAATTTTGCTAAACAACCTGAATTTTCTTGTTTGTGATTGATTCTTCTTGCTATTGTGGGTTTATTCCACAAGAAGTTCATATCAACTAAACCAATAGTAGTGACAAAAGGCGTAGTTTTCTGTTCCTTCGATTCCTAGTAATGAACATTTTGTGTTTTGAAACTTTGGTTCTGCATTTTCTCGGCAACTGCATTGATTTTTAATGATTTATTATAGACAACGAAATTTAGCTTGTTAAATATAACTGATTTTCTTTGTAATCCATTCTTGCATTCATTGATTTTGTCTTAACTTTCATCAGAGTGACATTGTTGCGAAGATAAAAGCGGAGGCTTCTATGCTAAGACTTACAAATGAAGATCTGTCTAAGCAAGTCGAAGGTCTACAAATGAGCCGTCTAAATGAGGTTGAGGAGCTTGTCTACCTGAGGTGGGTCAATTCATGTTTGCGAAATGAGTTGCGCAATGGCTCAATTATGAATTCTGACAAGGCATCAAGTCCCCATTCGAATGAGAGTAGTGAATCTGTTAACTTTTCTTCTTGTCCTACTGATGAAATCTCCGAATATAGTAGCACCAAGAGATGCAATCTGATTAAGAAGTTGAAGAAATGGCCTATTACTGAAGAAGATTTGTCAAATTTAGAATGTCTGGACAATGTCTTAGATAAAAGTTGGATTGATTCGCAGAGTCCAAGAAGAAGACACTCCATATGTGGATCAAAATACTGTGCAGAAGACTTGATATTGAGTAAAAGAAGGCAATCTGAAAATTTTATTTGCTCGAATGAAATTGAAAAGGAGGTGGAGCCCCTTGCTACTCAAAAGTATGATTTGGGTATAATTCAAAAGCCCCAAATGTTTAGCAACTGCCAAGAAATCACTAAAGTATCAGCTTCTTTAGATGTTGAGAAACGGGCATTGCGGATAGCTAATCCTCCTCCAAGGCCTTCTTCGTGTGCTGTTTCTAATGGACTTAAGGAAGATGAACCCGCTCAAATTCCCCCACCACCTCCACCTCCTCCTCCCCCACCACCTCCTCCTAAGTTTTCTGTTAGAGGTTCCACAGGATTAGTGCAACGAGCCCCGGAAGTAGTTGAGTTCTACCATTCACTCATGAAGAGGGACTCTAGAAAAGATTCTTTAAATGGAGGAATTTGTGATGCCCCAGATGTTGCAAATGTTCGTAGTAGCATGATAGGTGAAATTGAGAATCGGTCTTCACATCTGCTTGCGGTAAGTGCTTGCCATTTTCTTGTTCCTTTTGAAAAATGTATGATCAAGTAGCTAGGATATTCAAAATCAGGGGATGATATGAAAACAATGGGTGTTTTTGAACTTTTTATTGTTTTTGTTTCCAAAAACTCAAAAAATGAAAATGATGTCAAGTGGGACCTTTTCATTTTCTCACAATCTCTAGGTGTTCAGATGTAGTGAAAAAAAAAAAAATTATGTTGCATTTTGTTGTAATCCCAATAGCTTGATCATTATCCTTTGTGCAGATAAAGGCAGATGTTGAGACTCAAGGAGAATTTGTAAATTCATTGATAAGAGAAGTCAATGATGCAGTTTTTCAGGGTATTGAAGATGTGGTGGCATTCGTGAAGTGGCTTGATGACGAACTTTGCTTCCTTGTAAGTTGATCATCAGTATAACTGAAATAGCTATTAATAAGAGCTTCCTCTTTCAAAATATTTTTCACCAAAATTCTGAAAATCGTGAGCAAATTATTTGAGTGGGTTTGTTTCGATAATCTCTAAGAAATAAATGGTTTATAAAAGAAAAAAAATTAAATCCTTCTTTTTAGTCTTATATGCACAATTTGTAAGAGTAAATTTTCCTTTTAACATTCTTCAGAAGACCCAGAGATCATTGAAACCATGGTGCTATGTATTTATGATATTGTGTATATGTAGCACTAAGAGAGCTTTATCAAGTGTTTTAGCAATCTTACCAGGCTTGTTTTTCCTTGAAGGTGGATGAGAGGGCAGTCCTTAAGCATTTTGATTGGCCAGAGAAGAAAGCTGACACGTTGAGAGAGTCGGCATTTGGGTATAGAGATCTCAAGAAGTTGGAGTATGAAGTTTCTAACTACCAGGACAATCCTCAATTGCCATGCGACATTGCATTAAAGAAAATGGTCAATTTGTCCGAGAAGTAAGAAAACCTTATTCTTCTATCAGCTTTTGGAACATCTCAAAGTTTGTAGCATTTTTGTATGTGTATATTAGTATATATTAGTTTGTTAATTTTTCTCGAGTATATGATGAATATCCCCTTCCCACTTCCAGGATGGAACGAACTGTTTATAACCTTCTCCGGACAAGAGAATCGTTGATGTGCCATTGCAAAGAGTTCCAAATTCCTACAGATTGGATGCTTGACAGTGGAATAGTAAGCAAGGTACACTCATTATCTGTCACTTTTCATTTCTTAATTTTTATTTTGAACCCTAATATTAAAAGTCCATTAGATCATTGTCAAAATTATTGCATTTGGCAGCCTAAATTTTCTGTACTGTATGATTATTAAGTCCATAGAGCAGATTGGATAGAAAAGGAAATGTGCATAATTTACGGATTTTCATGGACTCTGATGATTCTTTAACTCAAGCCTCTCAGAACTTATAACCTGTTTATGTCATTTTCATTTTGAGATCTGGACATACAAAATAACATCCCTCTTGATGCATCTTTATGATGGTATATTTACACTCCCTTATTGACAGGATTTCCCAAGAAAAAAAGAAGAAATTTCAAGTCTGATGGTTTGTTGTATAATTTGTTGGCAGATAAAGTTTGGCTCCGTAAAATTGGCAAAGAAGTACATGAAAAGGGTGGCTATGGAACTTCAAGCAAAGGGGACATCGGAAAAGGATTCTGCCATGGATTATATGTTACTTCAGGGAGTTAGATTTGCCTTCCGAATACATCAGGTTCTTGAAATAACAATACTATATATACAATTCTGTTTTGTTACCATTTAGTTGCTACAATTACACAAGGACTGAGAATAGACTTATAGTGCCGTGTTTTCCATGCAACCAAAAAAGAAGAGAAAGCCTATGCGCGCAAAAAAATTTCACATAATGGGATACAGATTCGAGACAAAAGGTGGGCCTCACATGTGAACCCCTCTTATGTGGATTTCACACCTTTGTCTCACATCTGTGAAAATTTTCTGTATTCCTAGCATAGCTGAACAATGAATCCAAGTGATTACAATTTGTTTCTTTCTATTAAGCCTTAAGCATAGTTATATTTGGTATTAGCCGCCAACCCCATTTGATTGAGATACAAGGCTTAGTTTGGTTATATTGTAAGATCAAACTGATCTTCTTTTTCTTGTTTTGTGCAGTTTGCTGGAGGATTTGATGCAGAAACAATGGCGGCATTTGAGGAGCTTCGAAATCTTGCCCTTGTTCTAAGCAAAAAGTAAAAGTGGGGGGGAGGAGACAATCATGCTTACCATCTCAGTAAGCAATCATGTAATATACAATAGAACGTTACAAAAATGCAATGTGTGCAATTTTGGTGATCGAATGTGGGTTTTTTTGGCTGTTTTTAAACTATGCACGTTTGAGTTTGGTATTTGCAGGAGAAAATTTTGTACAGAGGTTTTGAAATAGGCAACTCAGTTAAAAGCTTGATGAGCGAAACTGCTTTTGCTGAAAACATTATATATATAACTGTTTCTTTGCCATTTTCATTCTGCAAGACTTTTTTAAGCATTAATTTTTGGTTCTGAAAACAAAGGGTAATATAAAAAAAGTGGAAAGATGGTAAAATAATTTGAAATTCATACATTTTTTTTGCACAAATTAGTGCATGAGATACTTGTTCTCTCAAAGACACGCACCTTACCCCTTACCCCTTACCCAAGCTTCGACAAGATGTTACATGGTTTTGGGCAAAATTTAATCCTAAAAACTAGTTGTGATCAAGTTGTTCTAATGTTTATATGCTTTGGTACTCGAGTAATGTGGGAATTTACTTCGCATTAATATCACAAATTGCATGTGTCATTGCATTTAATAGCGTCATTAAATGACCAAAAATGATTTATGTAGTTGATTTTGATTTAAGTTTTTAGATTGTAAGTGTCATTGCTTCATGCAATGTTGCTTTATGCAATGGTTGGTTTGGTCATTGGTAAGTTTAATGACAAAAGATTATATTAAAATATAATTAGAAATGCAAATTTTAAATTAATGAAATTAAAACTAACAAGATAAAAAAATGAAATAGATTAACACTGTAATTAATGCAGTGTCATTAGCCCAAATCCAACCCAATAAATTATTTTTCAGTTTGAGTTTTAATTAGTCTTTAGATTTCAACTCGAGTTTCAATTAATCATCTTATTATCATTCTATTTAAAATTTGAGTAAAAATTAAAATATGAAAGATCAAAAGTGAAATCTTAATGAAAGTTGAAAGGGTGAAAAATGTAATTTTTTTTAATAATTTTTTTCTTTAAATGCCCTTAAAGAAGTATGATCAATGTGGCCATTACTTACCACCAGGGTTGGTGGCCTGGTGGAGGATGCGGCACATTCCCTAGCCGAGAGCCAGGGTCGATTCCTGGGAGAGGCGTTTGAAATCTCTCTTGAGAACACGCTCATACTCCCCTCGAACCCTGTCCTCTGCGGCGGCGTGTGATTGCCCTCCATTGATGCTCTGGTGGTGGGTTCCTCACTTGGTGGGGGTTAATTCCTAACTGGTGGGCTAGGGCCCAACGGGGTCATGATGACACCCAGAGCCCTTTTTTTTTCACGTTCAAAAAAAAAAAAAAAAAAAGGGAATGTGGCCATTACTTGATTATCTTCTATTCATTTTTAAATACTGAATAAAATAATGACTATATTGAAACAATCAAAGAAGTTTAAGGACTTAATGGTTATAATATAAGATGGGGATCAAATTAAAATTGAAGGCCAAAAGTATATTTTACCTAAAATATATAAAGAATTGATTATTTATCAACTCCAATAAACTAAAATAAATAAATAAATATGTTTTCTACTCAAAAGAGTTAACTTGGTGTGCGAAATGTTTCTTTATCCGATATGATACTTGAGTTTGAGTCTTTATCGCTATGATTATAATTTATATATATATATATATATATATAAAAATATTTTAGTAGTTACATTCGACAACAAATTATATATATAATCTAAATGGTCCGGTTTGGTTTCAATTGGGTTCGTAGTTATAAAACCACGAACCAAACCGTGAAGTACGGTTCGCTTATTAAAAAATCATAACTAAATTGTGCATTGAGAAAATCAAACTAAACTATGCGGTTTGGTTTGGACTGAACCCTTAAGTTTAATGTGTTAAAAGGGTATGCATGGCGGCCTAGCGCGACGTTGATGTGGATAGTGGTTGGCTTGGTTAAGCAATGCTGCCGAGGGGCAAAGTGAATGGCATGCTGGACAACCTAGTCAAGTCTACAGAGTGGACAAATAAAAGCGTGTTATGCTCATGTGAAGGCCGAGCTAAAACAATCGTAAACCAAGTCGATGAAGGCTTTGCTTGGTGAAAGACTGAGTGTGTCTAGCTCGATCGTTGAGCAAGTTTGGTCCACAGCCTATTTGGTCGAAGCTCGGCTATGGAGGGGGCAAGGTTTTAGCCTAGTTATGAGAATGGTGATGAACTTCTAGCTCAGTTGTAAGGATGCAAACAAGTTTTTAGCTCGGTTGCAACGTGGTTTCGGATTAAAATCGCCAGTTTGGACTGGTTTTGGTGCTAGTCATATGGTATTCATTGTTTAAAACGGTGCCAAAGGTCAACGGAGATCCAGATGTAAATTCATGGTTGTTTTATGCATTTTAGTATTAAAAAACACCATGTATGGACATAGAAACTGATTCAACAAGAGTCCTCAATTTTGAATCAAAGGGAATAACACAATATAAATTTTTATTGATATTTTATTTATTTATTTTTAAAAAAATAAATTTATTTAATTGTGTAAAAATAAAATAAAATAAATTTTTATTTAATCTAGCTAAAAATAATTAAAATATTAAAGATATGTTTAATATTGCTATTACTTAGTAAACAATTGAAAAAGGGTAAAATAGTCTTTTGTTCATTTATCCTATCCAGTCCGTCCAACCAAACGTTGGATTCACTAAAAATAGTCATTTTCAGACATCTAATCCCATGAAAAAGCAAACACAGGATATATATCCAATCCAATCAAATAGTCCGGGAGATTCACAGTCCCAGGACTCAAGTCCGATGGATTCTAATCCACCCTTATCCAGTCCGTCCAATCAAACACACCCTAAGGTTTCGTTTGGTTAGGATTTTTGAAACTAAAAAAATATAAAAGATAAAATAAATTAAATAAATTAACAGGCTGGTCCTGAGGTGAAGCGATTAAAGACGCCCTAGGCTCCCAATTTTGAACAAAATTTAGGATCTCCAACTAAGGGAATGTATTTTGTCATGTTATTTCATAATTACTTCAATATTAGCTCAATTCATTTATTTTTATGTTGTTATATGGTGTTATTTTGATTCGTGTCTGATTGATATTTAATGTGAAAACTTTCATATTTAATTAAAAGTAACTTAGCAAGTGTATGGAAAGATTAAAATTTTTCCCATAAGTTGAATTTTATAAAATTTATTTTCTACTAAATGAAATTATTCATAGAATGTTTGATTTTAATTCAGTTACATTTTTTTAATTAAAAAAATTGTATCTTGCTACTATATATTTTTTACTAGATTGACTCTAAAATAGGTAACAAAATAATACATATCTTAAATGAAAAAAATATATTAGCCTTAATTATTATTTTACATATTTTTTTATTCAGTTAAATGGTGTTAAATAAAAAATTAAAAAAAATGTCATGGCATCCTTTAGTAAACATTAAAACATATAACTAATAATTTATGCTATTGAGTCGTGTCATACTTGAATTCATGTTGAAAAACAGTCAATCCTAACTTCCTAATTTTATATATTGCTTGAGTTGTGTCTAAAATTCTCATCCTTACTCCCAATTAATTTTAGTTATTGTAGCATTGGTAAGATAAAAAATAAAGATTTGATTCAACTAATCGAAGTTCAACTATTATATATATATATATTTGTTATCTAAATTTTGTTAAATTGTAATGCAATAGAAACAAACTTTTTTCCATTTTGTTTTATCGAAACAATTTTTTTTTTTTTTTTTTGATAATGAGAAATGAAGGGTCCAATTTAAAAAATTCGCCTTAGACCCTTAATTACTCAGGCTGGCCCTGTAAATTAATAAGATAAAATGTTACATTCAAATCATAATTATTTCATTTTTTTTTCACAAAAGTCAAAAAAATAAAAATAAAAAGTTAATCCAAACTTTTTAATCAAAGTTTAAAAAAAAACTCAACTAAAAAAAATCAATCAAAAAAATCCTAATCAAACGACAACTAAATAGTAAGGGTGAGCAGCAGATATACCGATCCACCAAAACCGATCAAATCGAACTGAACCGATCCGCTGCATTTTAGACGGATGCGTGATGACTAGCGGACGGTTGCGGATTGATTTTCTCCAATCCGCCAATTTGGCGGACGGATGGCGGATTTGAGATTCCTTTGGCCCAACCGAACCGCCAAACCGCGAGCACCCCTAATAATTTATAAAACTTTATGTTTTCAATTTGTTTAAATATTTTATTTGTGTTTTCAATTGAAAAAGAGTTTAAATATTTTGTTGAAAAAAAGTTTTCAACTTGAATATATTTTTTGAATTGAAAAAAATAAACATATTATTTATCTATATTTTTTGGTTTTTAAATTTAACTCTAAAAATAATAAATAGAAAATACGATATATGCTGGTTGGTTTTTATTTTCAAAAATATATATAAATGTAACAATACAGAGACATACAATCTCTACTACTGTCATGTTCATGGCTTTGGTAGTTTGAATTGTTATTATATTTTAAGAATCACAGATTGTAATACTTTATATGGATGAATCATGTTGTGATTGTAATATGTGGATGGGCCATGCAGTGATTGTGATATTCTAAAATTTCAAAGTTTCTTTTTTTGGATGAAACATACAGTGATTGTAATAATTTTTTAAGTCATTGACTGTAATACTTTTTTTTTTTTTTGAGAAAGTACACAAGTTGAATTATATTGAAAATTTATAAAATCTTAAACCACCAAACCGATTCACATCAAACCACCAGTCCGCTCAATCCAATACGCCAGATTGACGGACGGATACGGATTGATTTTCTCTAATCTGTCAATCTGACAGACAGATGACAGATTAAAAATTTCATGACCGCAACCTACCCACGTCTAGCTTTACTAAATAACAACTTTATGTTGATATTTTTTTTCCCCTTGCACTGTGGAAACTAGAAACTAGTCACATAACTAACATGAACCTGTAGTACACAACTTCACATGCATGGCCTATGAAATAGTTTGAATCAATCCCTATGCTTTGAAGGAAAGTGCAAAGTGGTAAGTTTGGTACCCATGATTCTTTGTTGGCAAGGTAAACAAATGTGTTTTGGACCAAAACTTCTCTTTTATAAGTTCTGTTATAAATAAAAAAATCAAACATAAAATAAAATACAAAATACAAAAGAATATATTAAATTTTATAAAATTTATTAATAAGATTTAACTTAAAAATTATATTTATTAATAAGATTTAACTTAAAAATTATTAG